CCCCAAAACCCCAAAACCCCATAAAGTAAAATATAAAAAAGAAAGAATTGATGACTTAGAATGATATATCGATATATTATTAATATATATTAATCACTGATTCTGCAAGGATTGTTTATCTATTTTGGGATTCATAACAATAATAATAGCTGTGATATCATCAATAGCTCCTGGTTTCTCTGTTTGATTTGCTCTCAAAGGTATTGCTTTACCAAACATGTTTTTCATATGTTGTTGTCTTCTGAGAGAATTCTAGTACTCCCAAATAGAGCGAGCTGCTTGAACTAGTTATATTGCTGCTTTTTTCATATCATCAGTCCTAATAATTATTAGACCATAATAGTGAATCTTACTCTCTTATAATAAAGCCAACTGTCTCTGCTGAGTTCAAAACATCCCAAACTCCATCTGAAGCAATTACAATAAAATAGTCATCATTCATGACTTTCCAGTATTCGATATCTGGCTCACTTGAAATACCAATTTTATGTCCAAGTAAATCTCCTAGTGTTCTTGTGACGGCAAGACCAGGAGACTCCTCGTCTTTCTTCCAAACTCTTAAAGGTCCACTAGTACCTTCCTTAGGCATAATTTCACCGCCTTATTTCTCAATACGTTCCTTCTCAATTGGGTTGAATGGTTTGTGATCTGTACTTAATTCCATAGCTGAGATTTCACCTCCTTCAACGTTGCACATAATAGCTCTTGAATCTCCAACATTCATAATAAAGAGTTCTTAATCTATTTAAAGAATCGAAACTCCAGTAGTTCCACTCTAATGGTATTATTTTTTCTAAATTGAATTTCAAATACAATATTTTACATTTTTATTAAATTTAGCTTGTACATCAGCATAGCATTATTTGAACATTTTCTTAACTCTTTCTTTGTAGTCCTTCTAATCTCTGAATTTCAGTATTTTCTTGATGTTTTTCCTCACAAATTGTTCGATTTCAAGGTTAGCTAGCCAGGAAGCCTATTAATTGATTTTAATATGGGTATGATTCTTACCTCTTTACCGAAATCTCCATGACCATCGTATACTCCAAAGAATCTGACTAATGTATTTTCTTCTATAAGTTCAAATATTGATGCTGAATCCTATTCAACATTCTTCTTGCCTTGACCTGTCATAGAATAGGTGTATACATTCTTAACCTTATGTTTTCCCTTTGAATCCTCTTTACCTCCATGTTTATCTTTCTTGTCCTTTTTCTTGTTTTTGGGGTCCTTGCACAGAGACTTGCACCAACCTATCATTTTTATTCAACTATTATAATTTATATAATTATCTGCTTTTCATCAAACCTTCGTCTGCTTTATTCAAGTTACCACTTTCTTTGGGGTTTTGGGGTTTTGGGGTTTTGGGG